CCATGCACACCAACCCGCCAGCGCCCAAGCACAGCCTGTGCGCGGCCCAGACCCACTAGGAGGTCAAAAATGATACCGACCCACCACACCAGCCCTTTTAATGATCTGAACTGCTGGAATTTTAGCTTCCCTCCTAAAAATATTTTTGAGGAAAATATTTAGAGGGAACATTTTTGGAGGAAACTCTTTTGGAGGAAAATTGGCTATAAATAAGCCCTTGTAAATTGTGTAAATCATTCATTCAATACATTTTCAGCTTTTCTTTTTCCAGCACTCTCCTCTCTTTTCTTCCTTTCCCTTTTCTGCAAGTGTGCTTGCTGGCTTGAGGCCTACTGTGTGCGTGTGCATGTGCGTGTGTCGACTGACCGGAAAGTAGTGTGCTGCGTGTGGGTGTGCTGCGTGCTTACTGGGCGGGTGCTGAGCACCAAGGCTGACTTGAGTTCCAGTACCGAGATAAAGGAACGAATCCAAGGTCACACGGTGGGTGGTCTGAAGAACCGTCCCGTGACAATAGAGTGGGGTTGGTTGTTGGGGAAATGTCAGACTTTCTGCTAACAGAATGTGCAGTCTGGTTAACCGAAGCAAAGTTTGAGTAGCAATGCACATTTGTAAACATTAGGTATCAAATCAAACTTTTGATTATAGTTTGAACACCAAATGTATGATTAACCCATTCAAGAAAAGTAGCCAAGGAAGGCAAATCCAATTATGTGGTTTGCCAAAATTATCGGAGTCACACAAAATAGTGTTGAGACTTATCACTAAATAATGTCAAACTAACCAATTGGAGGAAGCAAGTTGGATGTTTGTTCCCAGATTGCAGTTTCTTCATCTCCAAGGCACAAAAGTAAATTATTTGCTATATTTTGCCTGCAAAAGTAATAGGAAGAAGATCAACAAAGAGACTAAATAGTGACAACTCAAGAAATCACAAAATCATAGCATCTAAACTAACCTCATACCAGGTAGAATGACAAACTATGTGCTGCATCTGTCAATATGTGAATTAGTTCTGATATAAAATCAAACACATTCCTTCTCTGGATAGCATTTCCAGAAGCAAGGCATTTAAGAACTTCTTCAAGACAGTGACCATCAGCAGTTCTGGTGGACCATTAATCTAAGTCAGGTTTAAACCCCAAACATAGGCCATGAAAATTTATTCATGAGTCAAAAACTAATGAAGGAAAAATTAAAGAGGTTACATGGAACACTATTCTGCTACAAGCATAACAGCGGCTCTAGCTGCACCATCTCTCTTGTCAAGAAGGTGAAGCAGCAATGGTACCACAGCATCCATCTGCTTGGTGTCAGTTACACTGCTTCTAGACGAATGGTTTGGCTTAAAAATGACAGCCTTGAATATACTCAGAGCTCCATCTATTACGTCGCCATCATTGCAGTGAAGCTTGCCAAAATGCACCAAGAACAAAAAAACAGTGTGAGTATGTCAATAATAAGACACAATGCCCAAACAATAACCTAGATTTTGTGTGTTACAAAGAATGATAACAACATT